ATTAAAGAAAACACATGTGAAAAGGCTAAATTTTGGAGATAAGATCATTAATGTAGGAAAATGGGTCATTCAAAGAAGAATAAAAAAAAGGTATTGTTCATTTTATTTCATATTTTTCATTTCACTGTACTAATGTTCGGATAGATAAAATATAAAGTTTTATTGAAAAAAACTTTTGACATGCATTTAGGAGGTTCTACAGCAGTGGTTCTCAAATTTTTTCCTCTGCAAATCCCTTTGATGGGGGTAAAAGACCCCAAAAACTACTACCAGTCTTACCTCACCTGCTTTTGCTTGCCACTGAAAAAAACTCATCAGAATTAATGGGAAGAACAGTGCTGATTTTGATGAGAGTTGCATTTTGGACCAGACTGTGAACCACCTGTCGGACCCTCACAGGCCACAATTTTGGACGAGACTGTGAACCACCTGTCGGACCCTCACAGGCCACATTTTGGACGAGACTGTGAACCACCTGTAGGACCCTCAAAGGCCACATTTTGTACCAGACTGTGAACCATCTGTGGGACCCTCACAGGCCACATTTTGTACCAGACTGTGAACCATCTGTGGGACCCTCACAGGCCACATTTTGTATCAGACTGTGAACCATCTGTGGGACCCTCACAGGCCACATTTTGGAACAGCCTGTGAACCACCTGTAGGACCATTACAGGCCACATTTTGGAACAGCCTGTGAACCACCAGTAGGACCATCACAAGCCACATTTTGGAACAGCCTGTGAACCACCTGTAGGACCATTACAGGCCACATTTTGGAACAGCCTGTGAACCACCTGGAGGAACCTCACAGACCACATTTTGAAACAGCCTTGAACCACCTGAAGGACCCTTACAGACCATATTTTAAGAACCACTGTTCTAGAGGTCATGCAAATGAAATATGTAAACTGTAAGATGAAAAAAGTATTTTTATTCTTAATATGAAAATCACCTTCCACACTGATTGTTTTCAGCAAAGGCTTTGAAAATCCACAAGTATTTAGTAAAAATACTATATTAAAAATTATTGTCTGTCTGCAGTATAGAGTGGGAGGGTGGTCACTTTTGTTGCATTTAAGTAAAAAATAAATAAAATTAGAGTACCTACATAATTGGGGGAAGACAGCAAAACTATTCCCTAAGTTGCAGTATAGAGTGGGAGGGTGGTCGCTTTTGTTGCATTTAAGTAAAAAATAAATAAAATTAGAGTATCTACATAATTGGGGGAAGACAGCAAAACTATTCCCTAAGTTGCAGTATAGAGTGGGAGGGTGGTCGCTTTTGTTGCATTTAAGTAAAAAATAAATAAAATTAGAGTACCTACATAATTGGGGGAAGACAGCAAAACTATTCCCTAAGTTGCAGTATAGAGTGGGAGG